ACCACGAAATCGTCGAATGAAACCAAGTAAACATCTTCCAGAAGAAGCCATTACAATAATGAATGAATGGTTTGAAAAAAATGTTGATAATCCTTATCCAAATGTTAATGAACGTTTTGAATTAGCAAAAAATGGTGGAATTACTGAAGCACAGGTTTCTTTCTCCATTCAATTCTCTCTTATTTGTACTCTAATTCAATGATATTTTTAGGTCAAAGCTTGGTTTTCAAATAAACGAAATCGTACACAAAATACACATCCAAAACGTGCCAAACGAAATATGATTAAAAACAATTATTTGAATTATTATCATAATTATACGACGACAACATCATCATCGAACACAATGACAGAATCACTTAATAATTGGACAATACCGGATGAAAATTCTAGCGTTAATAAAATTCATATAGCGGATAAAATTGAAAAATTAGTTTATGAACGTTTAAACGATGAAACAAATTTACATTCACCTCATCGATTACCGACACCTCCAGTTGAACTGAAGACATGCGAAAATATTAGTGATAATTCTTCTGAACGTTATTCCTGTCCGTCTTCTATTTGTTATACACAATCATTCACTTCACCAACATTACCACCGCTCACCTCTTATTCTCACAACATTCCATTTGATAATTTATCACCATCATCATCATCATTTTATTTTTGTCCATTGTCTATTACTTACGATAATAACAATTTTTTTAACCAGTTCTATTAGAAATAAGTTAAGTTAACTCTTATTTGTTTTCTTTGATTCTTAGCTGTTTATTTATGACTATCGTAATAAAAATTGTCTTTCATCTATTATATTAATAAACGAATGATCATTTTAAGCAATAAAATGAGTGTTTTCTTTGTGTTTGTATAAAAGATGTATCAAAAAGTATAAAATCTATGAATGAATGAATTTATTTTTTTACAGAGATGAAATAAAAATAAAGATAATACAGAAGTTAAAAACTTCTTATTAATTAAAATTCTTATTCATTATTGTCGAGATCGAGCTTTCTAATACCCTCGTCTATTGTACACCTCTGTGCTTTAAGATATAGTATAAACTCACAAATGAGTGGTTTTTCATCTCGGCATTTTTAACTGATCGAGTCTTCAACAAATGTATTTTTTAAAATATCATTTATTTTTCTTTCCCGTTATTCAAAAGAAAGTTTTTGAAAACCACTTTTATATTCACATTTTCATTGAAATAAACGGGGAAAAAAACGCTTGAAACACTTTTAAATAAAAACGTATTTGTTTGAGACTCTTTTAGTCGGAGAAATGCCGCATTTGAATGTTTGATGATTGTTTCTCATTGAAAAATCATCATCGTCGATGGATTATAAGATTGATTTCTGTTAATACAAATGATGTTGTTTCGGAACGATTTTTTATTGAGATAAAACATAAAAGCAAAATAAAATGATGTACTTCTTTTTAAAAAATATAGATTCTACAAAATTCGCAACGAAAGAATAGACAACACATTGTTTTACATTGGAGAGCTCTTTTTTGCACCAAAGAAATAAAGTAAAACTAATGTTAATCACAATGATTGAGTATAAGAGCAAAATAATAGCAACGGTTTCTCAAAACAAAATTTCTTCTCAAGACATTGAACAAGTCTCATTTTTTTCAAAAATTAGTCTGTTTTTAGAGCATACTGTTTAACATGACTTTACTAATGAAAACTATCATTTCGACATAAACAATAAATGGTTTGAAGCTCTCTAGCAGTGTGACATATTTCCAGGAGGATATCTTCAATCAACACATGCTTTGGCTATCAATAGTCTATTCTAGAACAAGTAGTGAGTAAAACAGAGTTTAAAAATGAATCATATTTCTGTTAAGAGTTGTACCATTAATTTTTTTGTACGATTAGATCTATCGACATTTATCTGATGTAAAAGAAAAAAACTGTGTGACCACTATTCTACGATGAAGACAAAATGAAGATTGAAAGGAAAAGTGAAAGTCAAAAAATATTTTCATTTTTCTTCAAAGAAAAAAGACAATATTTATGCATATTAGTTTTGCTGAAAAACACATCAATAGAGAAATTAAAAATAAACATGACACCATACAACTTGTCTACATTTTCACTGTTCTGAACAAAATGACAAAAAGATAAAAATATTGTTGAGAAGAATTATTTTTATAAAGTGGATATTTTATAATAATAGTGGATATATAGAGCGATTGTTCCTAATTCGAACCACTTTTTAGCTAGTGAAA